TAAGTAGGAAAAGTAATCCACCACAACTTAATCCTGGCCATTTAGTGTCAGAGCGGGAGTAGACGAAACCCAGTCCTGCAGCAACACTTGGCATTGAACGAAAGGAGTGGTTAGTATTTGGGTTTCCAATTATCCCATCAATGTATATTGTTGTTGTAACGCAACCAAATCTTCTTGTACCGGCCATCACTCAGTGGTCATACGAGAACCTAGGTGCGACTAAGACAACTAATATTGAGAACAATAATGGAATAACTCTAGCTGTAGGTTCCCTAAGGCTTAATTTTGTTCTTGTTGCATCTATTAAAGTGGCATATAAACGTGGCTCATACGAGAAAAAATATTCTCAAATTCTTTGCACCAAAAAATGATCATCTGTGACGGTAATGATGCTAAGATTAGAAACTTGTCTACTTAGTAAGGCAGAGTTGCATGCCACCTTGATGCAAGTAGGACAACGGTCATTAAAACGGTAACGAACAGTGAACAAACCGGTTTTAGGTCTACTGAATAAGTTGCTATCGACGAGTAACCATCCTATCAAGAAACGTGGTGGGTTACCACCAGATAGGTGTCCCCCTGGCCAGCGGCAGGAATCTGATGACGATATTGTGGAAAGGCAAAGTGACCCTCTGTTAAAAAGACCATAGTTATGGGCAAAGCCCTCCAAAGGAGACAAATGAACTAAACCAACGGTCAAAAACTTGCCTGTAACAGTCCGGTTGCCGTAAAGGATGCAAACAGATGGGCAAAGCCTAGAGGTACATCCGGAATACTACGCTGAACAATGCCGGCGACACCGCTTGTAATGAAACTCACAGAAATCTGTGAATTTCCGCGGCTCATTAAATCGAGCTATTCTCCAGCAAAAGATAGTCGTGTAAAAGTAAATAAGCAGCCCAATAAAGCAAATCGATTAGATCCTTTAACAGATCCACATAAACTTTTCCAATGGATCGGCAATAGGATTAACAGCTCAACAAACGAAACGCAATAATTCGTTTTTTTATAGTATGGCCCTAATCTAATAAAAAGTCCAGACAGGTAAAAACGTATATGCATGACGTCGTACACCCCTTTTACGTCAAGCAAACACAGCTCCTCTAAGGAAAATTAACTGCACATTTTTAAATAGCAATCCAGTTCACCAGTTGGACGTAATTCATTTTCATGTCCCATGACTAACATTAAGAGATTCGGAATCTTCCTCTTACATGCAAATTACACTCCAAAAGTTCATTTGCGCCTGTGTTCTAAGGAGCGAAGATCGAGACGGAAAACACGAATACTATACGCGTTGCCAAGTACCTGCACGAAGTCCAATGAGCTCAATGAGGTAGCAAATTCAGTCTAAGAATGATTTGTGTTCGCACAAGCTGTTGGCAGTCGATCTAGTGGCTCAGAGGTCAAGATTCGAACGCACTACTTAGCGGCTCGCAGTTCCCATCCTGCAAGCACAAAAGGTGCATGCTGATGACGAGTCCCAAGTGGAACGAAACAGCTGTCCAGTGCTCTTAGTGAAACATCAAATATCAATCTCCATCACAAACATTTGAACTGGTTCGGCCAGTTCCGCTATACAGCACAATAAATTGGTCATCACGGGAACAGGATAATAGCAGTGTCAGTGTTTGAATACCGCTATCTACGCAGTATCGCATGAGTCTGGCGGGGAAACATGGCCAGTGGTGCTGAGGTTAGGCATACAGTTTTAGGTAATCGCAATCGTCCACTGGAACAAATTTTCGCAGGTTGGGACATATGTTACGCAAGTCACCAGATAGGTTGCCACGGCAAGCGATGTTTGCCGAGGCAGACAACAGATGCAAAAAGGTCAAGAGTGGTCACATTAAACCCTGGCATGAGGGTATAAAAACTCTAACCAGGATACTGGGTGGCATAGGTCCCTTAAGGCAACCTCGGTGGGGATCCCGAGATCATGGCCACTATTGGTTAGAGATGCTGAGTAATATGAATGAGTGTCGCAAACAGTGTCACTAATTGATCTACTCGGTTTCAGTTTTCAGTTTGTACAACCAATAACTGCGCATAATCGTGCGCCGGGTTTGGTTGCTGTCTTTTGGCTGCCCACTTCGGTGAAGAATAGAAGAAAGGAAAGTTGAAAGTGGAGCCAAAAAGAAAATGAAAAACATCAGTGGTCTAAGGTTGCAAAGAAATTGGGAATATGCACCCACGCCACTGTTTACGACAACCAGCCATATCATTCAATGTCTCTAACCATCGGGTACGATGATCCCGAAGTCCCCATCCAGGGAGCCTAACGGGACCTATGTGACCCAGACTCCTGGTTAG